TGTGTGTGTGCGTGTGTGTGTGTGAGAGTGTGTGTGTGTGAGAGTGTGTGTGTGTGTGAGAGCGTGTGTGTGTGTGAGTGTGTGTGTGTGTGTGTGTGAGTGTGTGTGAGGGAGAGTTTGGGTGGGCTTGTGTTGAGCTTCTTGAGTGTTGTTGGAGCTGCTCCCATCCAGGCAAGTGGGGAGTATTCTATCCCAGTTAATTTAGATGGTGGGACAGGCTTTGGGGAGTCAGGAGGTGAGTTACTTGCTGCGGAATTCCTAGCCTCGGACCTGCTCTTGTAGCCGCTGTATTTATGCAACAAGTTCTGTTGAGTTTCTGATCAATGATAACCCCGAGGAATTGGATAGTGGGGGATTGAACAATGGAAACACCATTGAATGTCAAGCGGGGTGATGGTTAGATTCTCTCTCTGTTTGGGAATTGTCTGGCATGAATTTCAGGAGATTGGACAAACCATTTAGGACTGAGATGAGGAGAAATGTCTGTCTTCGGCCAGCCTGTGGAATAGTTGCCACAGAACGTGGTTGAGGCCAAAACATTGAATGTTTGCAAGAAGGAGTCAGAGATAATTCTTGGGTCTAAAGGGATCAAAGGGAATGGGGAGAGCATAGGAACAGGGGGCTGAGTGGAGTGATCAGCCGTGATCATATTGAATGGGGGAGCAGGCTCGAAGGGCTGAGTGGTCTACTCCTGTCTCCTGTCTTCCATTTACTTGTCATTTTTCAGTCTAAACCTGAGCATGGCACAGTCGCAACTCCTTCGGCTGAATCTCCTGTCGTATAAGTGGCCTTGTGATGCGAAATTCCCTGATTTTTGATCTATCCCAAATGGGAGCAATGGGTAACAAAACACTCAAGTGGAAAGAGTGAGTCACAGATGTCACCAGGGAGGGAAATCTCCCCTTTCAGTCCTTGAATTTGAAAATAGGATCTTTCTTTTTTATTCCCCTCCTGGGGGATGGTGGGGTGATTTTTATTCCCAGTCTTCAGCAGAAGGGGAGAGATTTAACAGAGGCGACCACAAGAGGCGGCAAATCCTTCGGGCCATGTCGCAAATTTAGACCCAGGACGCATTGAGGCCTTCATTCAGAGAGATTTCCACCAGCCCTTTTTAAAACTTTTCAAGGATTGAACTTGATACCCTGGGCTTCATGAAGAGAGGCAGAGCGTGTGAAAAGCTGAGATATTGTCACTGTAAAACTGTGCACAGACTGGCTGGATCTCAAACGGCCCTGTTGGAGGGATGACGCCAAGGCTGAGAGAGGTGCGGAGGAGAGTCACCAGAACGGTCCCTGTTGAGGGTCTTCAATTCTTGCAGGGACACTGGGAGATGCTGGGATTGTCCTCCTGGGAGCAGGGAAGATTAAGGAGGAGATTGAACCGGGGAGTTCGCAATCAGAAGGTGGGGTGGGGAGGCCTTGATAGAATAGTGAACATGCGCACAGTTACTGAGTCAGTCTGTCAACCGTCATGGGGTAAAATATGAGAGTCTATTATCAAATAAGTCACAACAGGAAGGGTTCAGAAAACATTTACAAGGATGCTGCTGGGGTTGGAGGGTTTGAGCTACAGGGAGAGGCTGAATAGGCTGGGGCTATTTTCCCTGGAGCGTCGGAGACTGAGGAGTGACCTTATAGAGGTTTATAAAATCATGAGGGAGCATGGAGAGGGTAAAGAGACAAGGTCTTTTCCCCAGGGTGGGGGAGTCCAAAACCAGAGGGGCATAGGTTTAAGGTGAGAGGGGAAAGATTTGAAAGGGACCTAAAGGGCAACTTTTTCACACAGAGGGTGGTGTGTGTATGGAACGAGCTGCCAGAGGAAGTGGTGGAGGCTGGTACAATTACAACATTTAAAAGGCATCGGGATGGGTACATGAATAGGAAGGGTTTAGAGGGATATGGGCCAAATGCTGGCAAATGGGACTAGATTAGTTTAGGATATCTGGTCAGCATGAACGAGTTGGACCAAAGGGTCTGTTTCCGTGCTGGACATCTCTATGACTCTATAACAGGATAAATTGAAGGCCATTGGGCTGATTTCAGATGGTTTAGTGAAAGCAGAATTACATTTCACTAACCTACTGGGGTTCTTCGAGGAGGGAACATGTGTATGGATAAGCTAGAACCAGTAGATGTAGCGAATTGAGATTTCTAGAAGGCAGTTGATAAGATGCCACACGGAGGGTTAGTGGTGGAAAATAAAAGCTGATGGTGTAAAGGGTAAGATTTCAGCATGGATAGAAAATTGGCTGCCTACCAGGGAGGAGGGATTAGGAATAAGTGGGGTTTTTTTCAAGCTGGGAAAAGATGGAATGTATGGTGTGCCACAGGGGTTAGAACTGGAGCCTCAACTTTGTACCATTCATACAAGTGACTCAGGCAAAGAGCTGGAATGTCTGGCAACCCAGTTTATGAAGGTCAAGTGCATGGGCAAAGATGGAGTGAATGCAGTACAATATGAAATTGCCCCATTTTGCCAGGAAGAGTGTAAAACAAAGCTTATCTCAATGGTTGAGAGATTGCAGAGCTCTGAGATGCAGAGGGATCCGGGTGTCATAGAGCATGAATCACAAACAACTACAATAAGGGCACAACAAGTAATCAGGAAATTATTGTAAGAGCTTATGGCAAGAGCAATTGAATACAAGAGGAGGGAGATTATCCTTCAGTTAGACAGGGCACAGGTCAGACCGCATCCAGGGGTACTGTGTACAGGGTCGGGCCCCTTATTTAAGGAAAGATATTAATACATTGGAGGCAATTCAGAGAATGTTCACCATACTGTCAGACGGTCAGTG